CCCTCTCTCTCTTTTCTTTGAAGCTTATCTGGTACAATTTACTTGTTATCCTGTGGAATCTGGATTTTGTTGACTCAGTCTTTATAGTATGATTTAATGTATACTTCTGGCCCTTATATTTTTTATAAATTAGTTTTTCTATAAGTCAGAATTTGGTGCCCTCATTCATGTGTTTGCTCTCAGCCTACTGTGAAATTATATGGCAAGTAACATCTGTCCAAGTAAATAAATTTACATTTTTTTAGATTCTTAATCTCAAAAGGAAGAATCTAGTTCCTATGTCCATTTTCTATGATTTAACTCCAAGTATTCAGGCTCTATGTAGCCAATTTTTTTTTCATATTTTCTAGTCTTTGTATTGATATTATTTAACCATTCTAGGGCAGAGGAGGGAAATAAGTGATTAAATACCGTTACTTGTTAAATATTTTCTTTAAAAAATTGGGAGTGTGATAAAAATCATCTATGCTAACCTGTCCTTGAAAAATGATATACACCCAACTGTTGTCTCCTAATAATTTTCAATTTGTGCTTTTAAAGACCCTCGAATTTCCAGACGTGGGGGTGGGACAGGGTCAGGGAAGAAAAGAGGGGAGACCAAGTGGACTTTGCCTCCAGTTTCATCAGTGATTTTATTTGAATGAAGTGTTCCACGGATGAACAAAAACATTTTGAAAACCACTACCATATATTGAGAATGTAAAGATTTTTTCTACAATTAATTTTGTGGCAAAGTTCTAAATTTTAAACATTTAATGCCACTCAGAATTGATCTCTATGCCTGAAAAATCAGCAGGGGGTCTAGTGCAACTTTACCTGTGAATACTTGCCTCTAATAGTATATTTGCTGACTCAGTTATCGAAGCGTGATGCAGCCCATGGTGCTCCAGAGTGCTTCCCAAACAAAAGGCTTTCCCAGTTGGGTTTCAACTGCTGCTTAACTTAATTAACTTTGCTCTAGCCCTGCTTAGAAATATCTTCTTTAGACAGCATGATCATGTAAGCATAGCCTTTCTTCGGGTATAAATTAATTTCTTTAAGTTAAACTTTTTTTAGCAAAACTAATCTATGTTAGGATGTAAATTATGTGTTTTAAGGTAATATGATTTCGTGTTTTTTTTTTTTTTTTTAATATAATCTGACCTGGATATAAGCAAATAGTAAATAACCAAGCATTCCTGGACATTCCTTCCCTTTCGAATCATAAGACAAATCCCTTGATGTTTTGTTTCTTTTTATACTCTATCTTACTCTTAAATTTAGCTTCTCAAAGCCTTAGAGAGCGTCATCTCCGGGCCTCAATTTATAGTTATTGTCTCATGATAACTTGAGTGGGAATCTACCTATGCCCTTACCCACCTCCTCCCTTACTCCCTTGGGTTATGGATTGTCCTTTTATCTGAACTGAGTTCTGTCTGCCAGCAAATGTGCCTTCAGTTAATGGACTCCTGCATTCAGTCGAAGTCTCATATTATTTCCAGTATTCGGACTTGGTTAAGTCTCTGCAGTTTTCTGCAGTGCATGCCCGTTGTCTTTTTTAGTTTTTCATGTCAATATACAATCATTTTTGTGTAATTTTGTTAATGAAATAAGAAGTTCTTAGGACGAGCACTGGCTATTGCCTCTATTTGTAAAGATTTGGTGGAGGTAATAATCTTACAAATGGCTTGTTATTGAGGATGGTTGATGATCTGTACCAGCAGATAAAATGAGTTCTTCATAGTACTATTTATTTTTAATCATTCTTTCTATAAATTATCATTTTAGGCTTAGGGTGATCTTTTTTTTTAAACTGGGTGGTTAATCAGTTTTTATTTCCTACATATAGATGTTTCAGCAGTATCCAAGGATGGCGTATCCTCCTCTTCATGGTCCCATGAGGTTTCCACCTTCTTTATCTGAAGCAAACAAGTAAGACTATTAAATGATTAAAGTGTGCAGAGCATTTCCTGGAGGTTGAGTGGCTTGTGATGATTGATTCATTTTTCTGTCCTCAGAGTACAGCTGCCATAATTGGATAACTTTTATAAGAGAACAAAAATACTCCATTTCTCTAAAACTTTAAATTATCTTACATAAGATTCTGAAAACTGAAAATTATGGCCCTAAAAATTTATGGCACTTGTTTATCCCTCTTTTCTTCCATGATGTTAGTGAGGCCACATTTCCTTCTTTTGCCTGATGCTTGAGCATCCTCCTGAATGATGGCTTTTCTTAAACCTCTCTATTTTGAGATTATTAGTATAAGATTAGTATGAGATTATTGAATATTAGTCTTAGCTATATTATCCTTTAACATATATTTGTTTTAATTCTTTGACAAAAAAAGTCCTTGCCTCCTGTTAAATACTTGCATAAGAATTATGTATTGTCTTAAATTTACATAATTTACTTCATACACACATCACGTACAAAATATTTTGTATATCATGTAGAAAACATTGTTGAATTGAAATGAACTACATTTCAACCTTTTGATTTTTCTGATTAGTACCACTAAAACTTGGTACCCTCTCCCCTTATACTCTTGGTCAATAGAGGTCTTCGAGGAAGAGGCCCGCCTCCTTCGTGGGCCTCTGAGCCTGAACGCCCCTCCATCCTTAGTGCATCAGAGCTGAAGGAGCTCGATAAATTTGATAACCTAGATGCTGAAGCTGATGAAGGTTGGGCAGGTAAGAGGCAAAATTAAGAGTTTTTCATTTTTAGATGATTTTAAACAGTCAAGCTGAGTTTTCCATAATTTAATAGGTGCCCAGATGGAAGTAGATTATACAGAACAGCTGAATTTCAGCGATGATGATGAGCAAGGAAGTAGTAGTCCTAAAGAAAACAGCAGGTAAGTTGCGATTTCTTTTACAGTTCATATTATGAGTTTGTTGATATAATATTAGCCATTTAATCAGAGAGGCTTCATTAATAAGTATTTGTTCCTTATTTATAGAATTTCTACATTGTACTCCAAGAACTTTTTCTCAGTGAGAGGGAAGGTGATGAGTCAAATTTTAAAAGTATAGCTAATGACAGAATTAAAGTTTGACATTTTGATGCTTGCCATCTAATTGGAGATATTTTGAGAAACAATATCAAAGACCATTTAACAGTTGCTACTTGCTTCACTCGATCCATATTTACAAAATTGAGAAAAATTACATAGGTGACTATAGCTCCTTTGGGTCTTTCATTTTTTTCAAGCTTAGCAAGCAGTGTCTTGGAAAATGGGAGCCTTTTGTCTCTTTCTTTTGGGACAGGGGCATCCGAGTCAGGAATGTATGGGTTATGTGACATAATAGTTGGGCTCTTAAAATACACGGGAGCTTGCATGCACATATTGGTAGTTTTTCAGCCATGGCCTTGTAAAACACTGCTGTTTCATCATCAGTTGTGAGTTTCCTGTGATTTGTTGATTTTTTAAAATCCTGCAATTTGATTTATCTTTTTCAGTAAATCAGAATAAATTAGAATACAGTTATTAAATATCCGCACTATTACTCAGTTGCATTCAGATGAGATATTTGGCGGGGGGGTGGGGGGTGATAGAAAGTGGTGGGATTCTATTCCTTTGCCACATTGTGTGTTAAGCGTGCACGTCCATATTTGATAACTGCTGTACCACCCTTCAGGCCTTGTGATAACCCGGCCAAGTCCAGTCCCCAACATGTTGTAGACATATGGTATATATTTATTGAATAAATAGATTAGCGCCACTAGGTCACAAAACCATCTTGTTCCTTGAGACATTTTCCCCCGATACCAAATGGAATTAATGTCTTTTCTACATAGAGAAAATACATTTACGTATGGTACATTTCATCCACTTTACTTTTTTATTTTACCTGGATTTCAAATTTGCAGTGAGGACCAAGGTTCAAAAGCCTCTGAAAACAGTGAAACCCGAAAAGAAGCAGATGAAGTGTGCAATACTAAATCGTCATCTCAGATACCTGCCCAGCCACCAGTAGCAAAAGGTCCCTATGGGAAAGGACCACCATTTAATCAGGTTTGTTGGCTTCAGGGAGATCCTTGTCACTGCAGATAACTATGGGTGAACTAATTTTATAATCATAGAGTTGGAAGAAGACTTAGGAAAGGAAACTATATTTTTTTCTTGACTACCTCTAGATCTAAACCATCATTTCATTGCATATTAACAGGATCTATTAATACAGTAGCTAAAATTATCAGGTAGAAACTAAAGATTTTCCTTTTTTTCTTGTAACAGCTAGTTGAATCAACATGGTGGGCTAAATTGTTTGCCAAACTATCATTGCTGGTGTGTTTTGTGGTGCACTGAACACTGTAACTCCTAGGCAGTGTTCCTATGTGAGATTGTACCCTGTCTGAGTGGGAAGGTCTCACATGGGGAGCAGAGAAATCTTGTCTGAGCCATTTTGAAGAACAGGTAAAGAAGGGAAGTCCGTGCGCAACAGATCTAGTTGACCCTGCCTCTGAGATGCAGCAGGAGCTGCATTGCAAATGGGATGAAAAAGGGCTTCCTTCCTGACGGTCCGCTTAACTCCTCGCACACGCAGCACGTGTTCGTGGAATTCATACCAGCACGCGGAGGACCCGGTCCCTTCAGGGAGGTGAAAGGAAAAGAGGGCCCGCAGGCGTCGGTTAGAGCGCACAGCGAGTCCCCGCAGGGAGGAGAGTGGCTCTGAGCCGTGGGCGCGGCACACGCGGGAAGACCCCTGTACTGGGATGTGGGGGAGCAGGGAGAAGCAGTCAGTCTCGTGTGCTGCGCAAGGACGTTTAAGCTCCGTTCTTAAGGCATTGGTTAGCCGTTGGAGAATAAATGGTGAACTCTGGAAAAAGAAGGATTTTTCTAGTATTTTTTATAAAATCCATGTTTTATGTGACTTTTAACTACCGGCAAGTGGGGAATGATGCTTCCTTTCTTCATGAAAGAATAGAGGAATATTAAAAACCAGATTTTGATGTCTAGATTTTTTTCTATGTGTGCGACACTAATGTATATATTAGTGCGTGAATATTCTATGTATTATATCTGGCTCCAGGTTTTCTTTAGGTAAATCTCATAGCTTCAGTTTGCCGTTAAAAAGAAAACCCAGGAAAAGAATTGGACTTACATAAATAAAATTTTGAAATTCAAGGCATACCTCTAAGCAGCCAAATTAACTGAGCTAGAATTCCAGAATTTATACACTAAAATTCTGTTTCTTGCAAAAGTTCATTTGAGAGTCTAACCTTATTGAAACCACAGTATGATTCTATAAAGTCATCTTGCGGTGAGTGGAGTACTTTTATTTAAAAAGAGAAAAGGATAAAAATGGTTTGCTTTTTGCAGTTTTGTGCTCTCTGAAAAAATCAGCACATTCAGAGATATTTCCAGTAGATACTTTTATCTGATTATTTTCTAACGATCCATAGGAACGTGGACCATCTTCCCACCTGCCACCACCTCCAAAGCTGCTTGCACAGCAGGTAAATTTTAAATGCTGCTTAATGGTCTGTATATATTATTTGACTTTGTTTTAATGTTTTTTTATTTATGACGTTTCTGAAACAATTATGGTCCTTATCTTGTAGCCTCTGTGTCTTCCTCTTTATCCTTTCCCTCTTCGTTCTTAGCTGCTAATGTTCCCCATTCACTAAGAAAACGCGAAGCACCGTTTTTCCCATTTCTGTGCCCTTCCTGTTGTCCTTGCTTCTAAGGACAACTCTTCTACTTGCCCCTGGATCCCATCTTCTTTCACTTACCTGTTATCTCCCATATTTAAAAAACTTTTTTAAACCAGTCCTCCCCTAACTCCACTGCCCACCACCCCCTGAAGTGTCTACCCTGTTTCTCTGTTCTCCTGCCCGGCAGAATTGTTTCTCGCTCTTCGCTTAGGCTTTCATCTCCCGCCATACCTTTGAGACTGTTATTTCCAAGTCAGTAATGACTTCCATCTTGCCAAATGCAGTTTTCTTGTCTTCGTTTTACTTAATCTCAGCAGCAGTTGATATAGTTAATCTTTCTTCATCCTTCTTAAAACACTTTTTTATTAACTTGTTTTTGAGACATTACACTGTTTTTGTTCTCTTTAATTTGTATTCCTTCTGAGCTTCCTGTAATGACCTTTGGGTGTTGGAGGGGTCAGGGCTGTGTCCTCCTTTTTTTAACTATAGTTGACCCTTGAAAGATTCGGGGGTCGGGGCACCAACCCTTCACACAGTTGAGAATCCACGTATAATTTTCACTTGCCAAAATCTTAGCTACAGGGGATTAGTTCCAGGACCATCCATGGATTTCCAACCATGGATCAAAAATATTATTCTCGATCCATGGTCGTTTGAACCCTCGAATACAAAACCTGGGGATATAGAGGGACAACTGTATGTCCATTAAAAAAATCCATGCGTGGACCTGGGCGGTTCAAACCCATGTTGTTCAAGGGTCAGCGGTATATCTTTTCCCTGAAGGGTCTCGTGTGCGTGCTCATGGCACTCAACGTGTATACCGGGAGCCCTTAAAGCAGTCAGTTCAACATCCCCACGTGGCCTGCTGATGGATATCTCATACTTAATATATCCAAACCGTAACACACACACTCCCCCTCTCCCTGACTCCCACACATACACGGTCCTGCTGCTTCTCGTCTTCCACATTATCACGCATTTACTCAAGTGAAAACTTGGAAGTCCGTTTTCACCTTACATCCAGCTTAATGTCAGCAAATTAGGTCGCCTCTGCCTTCAGAACACGTTCCTGCACTGAGTCCTTGCTGCCACCTGTTGCGTTTCATGTGCACTATCGCATCGGCTCTCAACAGCCTTTGCTCTTCCTCCCTCGCGGCCTGCTCAGCCCTCCCCCTCGTCGCAGGTTTTCCGTAGGAGACGCACACAGGCTTTTCAGACTGGGCGCGCGCCTGAGGCCACGCGGTGCCTGCGCGGGACTTTACAGTCTACTTCTGATCTCGTCTACGCTTCCTTCTGTCCTCACCACACGATCTTTGTTGCTGCTGTTTTTTTTTATTACATCCTTAAGACATTTTCTCTGCTGTTTCCTCTTACTGGAAGGTTCTTTTCCTGGGATTTTTCCTATTAAATTCTCTGATCAGATATTACCACTTTAGAGGCCTTCCCTAAAAACATTAGAAAGGTAATGAAAGGATTTCTGTCAAAAAAAATTTTTTTTTTACTAATTTCATCTGGCAAAGAACTTGTATTGGAATATTATTAAAACAAACAAACAAACAAACAAAAAACTTATAACTCAATAATAAGATAAATAGCCCAACAAAATAATTTGGACATTCACTAAACAAAATAAGGTATATAAATGGTCAAAGAGCACATGAAAAAATGTTCAATATCTTTAGTCACCAGGGAGACGGAAATTAAAACCACAATGAGATTTTGTTACATGTCCAAAATTAAAAAGGCTGATGACACCAAATGTTGGGTGGGATGCAGAGCAGCTGGCACCCTCATGCGTTGCTGGCGGGGCTGTAAAACCTTGTGATCACTTAGGAAAACAGTTTGGCAGTTTCTTATAAAATGAAACATATATTTACCATATGACTTGGCAGTTCCATTCCTAGATATTTATCCAGGAGAAATGAAAATACATATTTACACAAAGACGTAGGCATAAATGCCCATAGCTGTTTTATTATTCATAGTTTAAAAACGAGAAGCAATCCACATGTCCATCCACAGATGAAATGATGCACCTGTGATTGAATACTATTTAGCAGTGGAGTGGAGCAAACTATTGATAACACACAGTGACCCAGAACTATTACCTGAAGCACAAGAAGCCAGACACAAAAGAGAACATAACTTGATGTATCCATTTATATGAAATTCTAGGAAAGGCAAAATACTCAAGACTGCCAGAAGTGGTTGCTTGGGGTCGGGGGTGTGGGTGGAGGAATGATGAAAACGCCCTGTGTCTTGATTGTGGTTGTAGTATACAAGTATAACACTCGTCCAGACTCATCAAACTCTGTGCATCACATTTTATGTAAATTATACTTTAGCGAAGTTGCTCCTTTAAAAATGCTTACTCTGTGAGTTTACTGTGGAAATTGGGTACTTTTATATGATCACTTTGTTTTTGCAGCTTGTCTCTGAGCTATAGATGAAGTAACTGAACACCAGGGAGATTAAGTGGTATGCATAAGACAGCACTGTCAGTAAATGATAGCGTATTCATGTTTTCTTATATTCATTCTAATGTTTTTATCATACCATTATTTTCTCTTTTGTAAAGGATTCTGACTAGTTATGGGATTTAAGTTTTCTTCATCCTTGTAGCTATTAAAATCAGCATTTTTAAAAACATTTTTTTTTCATTCCTCAATGTTTCAGTCCTTCATGTGCTCTTTTCATTCTGCTTTTCTTTGCTGGCAGTGATTTTAGACCACATAGTAGTTTAGAACACATTAATTGAAAATTAAATCATTAAAACGCAGTCCCTTGGGTGATCTTCCCTCATTCCACTTTGGATTCTAGATATGCATTTCTGGATCTTTCATTTCGGAGGCAGAACTCTCTCTTCCCAGGCTGATTTCTAGGAATTTCTTCTCCTTTGAATTGTCAGCAGCTGCAGTGTCTCCTTTTCCACTGTCTGCTTTTTTCACCTATAACCACACCCCCATCTTCTCAGGGCTCTTGTGGTCCCGTTTTGCATCCTTCTGGACTTCTTTCTCTTTTCCGCATTTCATTCCTGGCAATTGCTGCTAAAGTACTCACATTCTAAATTTCCTTTATCTCTAAATTTATATTTTGAAAGTCATGTTGTGACAGCTTCTGATTTATTCAGCAAATACTGAGTGAGCTTTGTGTGTGGTGCATGCTCAGTGAATATTAGGTGGTGGGATTAATTATTCTGGTCTTAGCTTGAGGAATTAGTCTAGATTTAATATTTTTCCCATGTTGTTACTTTTTTCCATTTTAATATGTTTTATCAGGAAAATTTCTCTCATTTTGTGGGAGTTTTTTCCTCTCTCTCAATGCCAAGATATCCAGTGTTTGTCAGATTTGTCACATTCGTCCGATAATTTTCTCTGAATGTTTCAGCATCCTCCTCCAGACCGACAGGCAGTACCTGGAAGACCAGGCCCTTTCCCCGCCAAGCAGCAAGTACCTGACGAAGATGAAATATGGAAGCAGAGAAGAAGACAGCAGTCAGAACTTTCTGCAGCGGTGGAACGTGCTCGTAAACGGCGTGAAGAGGAAGAGCGAAGGATGGAAGAACAGAGGAAGGCAGCTTGTGCTGAGAAATTGAAACAGTTGGATGAAAAGCTTGGTATCGTGGACAAGCAGCCATCTCCGGAGGAAATCAGAGAAAGGGAGCGGGAAAAGGAACGGGAGCGGGAGAAAGAACTCGAAAAAGAACAAGAACGGGAGCGAGAGAAGGAGAGGGAAAAAGAAAGGGAGAGGCTGCAGGAGAAGGAGAAAGAGCTGGAGAGAGAGCAGGAGAAACAAAGAGAAATGGAGAAGGAAAGAAAGCAAGAAAAAGACAAAGAACTAGAACAGCAGCCGGAAAAGGAAAAAGAACTAGAACTGCAAAAGACGAAAGAACAGGAAAAGGAGGGTGAATCGGAGAAGAAAGAAAGGGAGAAAGTGGAGGAAAAAATCGAGCACAAGGAACCTGCTTTAGAGCCTCTGGTAGAAAAACCAGAAAGTGAAAGCAGCACTAATAAAGGTATAATAGTCTTGTTTGTTCTTATGTACGCTTTACAAAATGCCTCATGTTACTACAGTGTTGATGTTTGTGTATTTTTAATATGTGTAACCTAAATTTAAAAATCTAAAAAACAGTATGTAATCCAGATAAACAAAAGATTGTTTTTTTGTTTGTTTTGGATAGAAGTTAACTTTTATTGGATAATTTAATATGCTTTTTTGCCCTAATTTTTTTCCTTATGGTAAAGTACATGTGCCATAAAATTTAGCATCTTAACCATTTTTAGGTGTACAATTCAGTGGTATTAAATACATTCATAATGTTGTGCATTCTCACCACCATTCATCTCCAGAATGCTTCGTCTCGTAAAACGGAAAGCCCATCCCTACGCCCGCGAAACGAGCGCCCTAGTCCCTTCTCTCCCCAGCCCCTGGCAGCCATTCTTTCTGTCCGTGATATCGACTGTTCTGAGTGCTTTATTTCAGTGGAATCATACAACATTTGTCTTTTTGTGACCGGCTTATTTCATTTAACACAATGTCTTCAAGGTTCATCCATATTGTAATATATTACAGAATTGCCCCTTTTTTAAGGCTCATAATTCATTGTGTGTGTATATATGACACTTTGCTTATCCAGTCATCTGTTGATGAACACTTGGATTGATTCCACATTTTACCTATTCCTAATAATGCTGCTGTGAATGTGAGTGTACAAACATCTCTTTGAGACTCTGCTTTCATTTCTTTTGAGTGTATATTCAGAAGTGGAATTGCTGGATTATAGGGTAATTATTTTTAATTTTTGAGGACCCACCATTCTGCTTTTCACGGCGACTGTACCATTTTACATTCCCTCCAGCAGTGTGCAGAGTTTGTTTCTCGTGTTCTCACCGACATTTGTTATTTTTTGAATTTTTGTGGGTTTTTTTTTTTTTTTTTATAGTAGCCATCCTAGTAGGTATGAGGTGATATCTCATTGTAGTTTTGATTTGCTTTTCCCTAATGATTAGTGAGGTTGAGGATCTTTTCGATGTTTATTGGCCATTCATATATCTCCTTTGGAGAAATGTCTGTTGCAGTTCTTTGCCCATTTTTGAATTGGATTGGTGGTGGTTGCAGCTTTAGGAGTTGGCTATATATTCTGGTGTCGGACCCTTATCAGATATATGATCTGTCAATATTTTCCCCCAATCCTTGGGTTGTCATTTCACTCTTGATATTTCGATGCACAAAACTTTACAGTTTTCACAAAGTCCAGTTTTCTCTTTTGTTGCTTTTGTCTTTGGTGTCGTATCTAAGAAGTCATTGCCGAATCTAATATCATGAACCTTTTGCCCTATGTTTTCTTAGGCAAGTTTCAGAGTTCTATGTCAGACGTCTATGTCTTTGACGTATTTTGCATTGTTTTGTATATTGTGTTAGGTAAGCATCCAACTTCATTCTTTTGCATATGGATATCCAGTTTTCCCAACACCATTAGTTGGAAAGTCCTTTCCTCTATTGAGTGGTCTTGCCACCCTTGTCTAAAATCATTTGAGCATATATCTGATGGTTTATCTCAGGACTATATACTTTATTTCATTGGTCTGTGTTTGCCTTTACGTCAATATCACATTTTTATTGTGGCTTCATAGTAAGTCTTTGTTATTCTTTTTCAAGATTGTTCTGGCTACTGTGGGTACATTGAGATTCTATGTGAATTTAAGGATGGGTGTTTCTATTTCTATAAAGAATGCCCTTGGGATTTTGATTGACTCTGTACATTGCTTTGGCTAGTGTTGACATGTAACAATATTGAGTCTTCCAATTCATGAACATGGGATGTATTTCCATTTACTTATATCGTCTTTAATTTCTTCATCAGTATTTTGTAGTTTTCATTATAAAAGTCTTTCACCTCCCCAGTTAATTCCTAAGGATTTTATTCTTTACGATGCTTTTGTTAATGGTATTGTTTTTGTAATTTCTTTTTCAGATTGTTCATTTTTAGTGTATAGCTGTGCAAGTAATTTTTGTATATTAAATTCGTTACCTGTTAATTTGCTGAATTAATTTATTCTAACAGTTTTTGTAGAATTTTTAGGGTTTTCTATTATAAAATCATATTATCTGTGAAAAATAACTTCTTTTCCAATTCTGATATATTTTTTTCTTGCCTAATAACTCTTGTCTTGTTCCTGATCTTAGAAAATGCTCTCAGTCTTACCACCATTGAGTGTGGTGTTAGCTGTAGGTTTTGGATTAATAATTAGTTTATTTTTTAATATATATTTCTTAAATCATGCAGAAAAACATAGTTACACGCCACTGTTAAAATACTAGTCGCTTATATAATTTCCTGTATTTTATCCACCTTTACTGAGACCTTTATTTTGTCATACAGCTTCGATATTGTCTAGTGTCTTCATTTCACCCTAAAGGATTCCCTTGAGCATTTCTTGGAGGGCAGGACTAATGGTAATGAATTCCCTCAGCCTTTTTCTGTGAATGTCTTAGTTTCTTCTCCCTTACTTAACTCTGAAAACTGCCTTCTGGCCTCCAGTGTTTCTGATGAGAAATCTGATAATCTTATTGAGAACCCTTTGTGTGTGACTTCTCTTAGTGCTTTCTCTTGCTGCTTTCAAAATTTTTTGTCTTTGTCTTTTGAAAGTTTGATTATAATGCTTCTCAGTTTGGGTCTGTTAAAGTTCATTGAGCTTCTTAGAGGTATAAATGTTCTTTTTTTAAATCAAATTTCAGAAGTTTTTGCCATTATTTCTTTCTTTTTTTTTTTTTTTTGAGTGTATACCCAGAAGCGGAATTGCTGGATCGTAGGGTAATTGTTTTTAATTTTTGAGGACCCACCATACTGTTTTTCACAGTGACTGTACCATTTTACATGCTCACTAGTGTGCAGTCTCTGCCCTCCCTCTCTCCTGTGTTTGGACTCCCTCAGTGTGCATGTGGGTCTGTTTGATCTTGTCCCACAGGTCCTTTAGGCTCTGTTTACTTTCTTTTCTGTTCCTCAGATTTAATAATTTCTATCGTTCTATCTTCAAGTTCATCTATTCTTTCTTCTGCTTGAAATGGGGGTGGGTAGCTGGTCCTGCTGCTAAGAGCTCTAATTGACTGAAATTAACTGCACTCTATTGTCCAAGTCTTCCCTGCAAGTTACAAGCCTTCAATAGACTCCAAAGTTCCAAAATAGTTACATCAGACATATTCTGACAGTGCAATTGCTGTCTGGGTTGCAGAAGAAATTGCTGTTATTCCTACTCAGCCGTCATCCCAGAATCCTGTTTGTCTTATAGAAAAGTATGAAAAGACAGCAATTGTGTGTTGGAAGAAATGAGTCATTTCATTTTGGGAAGGATGATGGGGTTATTCTTCAGTGTTTTTCAAAGTTATTAGATGAGCTTCAGTTCTGTTTGCTAAATCGTATTGGCTTTATACTCACATGCTGAACCTTCAGCTTTTTCCTTTTTATTCCAAGACATCTAACTAAATAAAATCTCATTTGTTGATTTCTAAACTTCAAATTGAATAGAGCTTAATGGGAATTTTTGATTGTCATAATTAAATGACTATACCCAGGTCATAATTACAGATTTTTCTACCAGTTGAAATATAAAAGCTTCCATAATGTAATTGATGTACTTTTAGCAAACTGTTAATGCTTTTTAAAAAAATACTTAACACCTTACTCCAAACTTGTAGTAAAGCTCAGTCTTAATGAACAGCTTAAGTTAAAATAGAATTAAAATAGAAGTATTTTTATTTCAGTATATTTTATGATATAAAAATACTGAAACTTTTGAGCTCAAAACCCACGCTCTTTCTATAAGACCCTGTTGCTTGAAATTATATTATACAGCTATTTGAAAATTTGTTGTATGTTTTTATTTATACTCAGGGTTACTTCAGTGCTGAAAGAGAACAAACAGCCTTAGAGAATCTTATTAGCAGTTAATGAGAAAGGACTATAGTCGATTAGAAATAAGGAAATTCATAATTTAGTCCTAGTTCTGTCAATGAATATATGTATTGATCCTGATAATTTAGTGGTCAGTGGTGACTATATCTACATAAATTATTGTTTTCTTTTTAATAATATTCAGTGGCACTTTTATTTTCATCGAGATTTTATATTTTCTCTGATGGCAGCTTAATTTTAGCTAGGTTTATCAGTGAGATGTAACCATTTGATTTTTAATTGGTTCTCCCAGTATTTTCTTTTCTCATTTACACATTTTTAATATTACAGCATGGTTTTACATTAGCAAAATAAACTTCCTTTTAAGATTCATCCCCAGTTGTCTGAGAAAAGAATTTGTAAAAACGTTGGCTTTGTAATTTTAACAAATGACGTTCTCTAGAACAAATATGGCTCTTGTTTTCTTTGGGATGAAAACTTTCCTTTTTGATATGTATGTGGTTCCCCTTTCTACATAATCATACGTGACACCCTTTACATAAAATAACGATTTATATATTCGAAAAAAGCCGGTGATCACTCTTTTGTTGTCAGACTTAGATTCATCAGTTTTCTTTATAGATAATAGTCCTTCGATCAAAAAAAGTTGAACCACTGTGTTCTATTTTAAGTATTTAAAGGCCATTTGTGTTTTCACAAGTCATTGTGAATCACAAGTAAATACTGGTAGTACATTAATATTAAAACATGGAAGGTGTAGGTAGTATTTGAAATGTTTTATTATCGCAAAATGTCAGATATATATTTTTGTATGGTGAAGCATTTGAACCTGTAATCTCTGTCTTAACGAGAATCCAGCTTTGAGGAAATCAAAGGTTTTGTTAGTGTAATGTTACCTCATTGGTGACTACCAACGTTAGGATACAAAGCAGTGTTTTGGAGTAATGAGGATGCTTTCCTCCTCGTTACCTTTTGTTATATATCGGTCTAATCGTTTCACTTTAGTATGTTTTTGGCAAGTGTCATAGATGAATACCATTCTCTCTTTCACCTTTTCTTTGGACAGAGGGTGACCCCGTTTTCACTAGACAAGACAGCAGTCGCGGTGAGAAAGAGACCACACAAGTGGCACACGAAACGGAACCAGAGTCAGGGTCTCAACCTCGGCCTGCTGTTTTATCTGGGTATTTTAAACAGTTCCAGAAGTCCTTACCACCACGGTTCCAGCGGCAGCAGGTAACGAAAAGCATTCTATCATGTACAATTGGAAAGGTTTATTGTTCAGTAGTTAGAAAAATAATTTGACATAAAATAAATACACAAAACACACTAATTTCCCCTGAACATTTTTCCCTTTTAAATCAAGTTTGTTGACAGGGGTTTTACTGTGAACTTCTCTGTCAATCCTTTTTTCCTCTGCCTCCCTGTAGACACCATCTTCCTTTCTGGGAAATGGTATCTACAACATAATTAACGAATGATAAGCTGCTTTAAGTCAAGATGTCATAATTTATCCTTTGTTCTTTTGTCTTGCCACCTCTCACTGTTAAATGTCTTTTGAAGTCTTACCCTTGAAGGATTCAAAAAAGCCTATTTTCTGATATGATTGCTTGGTGTATATATATTAATGTATCACATGGAACTACAATCTCAAGCTGTGGGACCCTGCCTTTTCAGGAGCAGATGAAACAGCAGCAATGGCAGCAGCAGCAACAGCAAGGTGTACTTCCACCGACGGTCCCATCGCAGCCATCCAGTGGCGCTGTCCCTCCTCCCCCACACAGGCCTCTTTACCAGCCAATGCAGCCCCACCCTCAGCACTTGGCATCCATGGGTTTTGATCCAAGGTGGCTCATGATGCAGTCGTACATGGATCCAAGAATGATGTCAGGTAGAGCGGCCGTGGACATCCCTCCCATTCATCACGGTGAGTGGGATACAGCCCTGTCTCAGGGCTGGCTCGCCGTTCTGCGGCATCAGAGCTTTTCGTTTTCCCTCCATTGTTAGTCGTGATTTCTCTGTGAGTTGTAATCTAGTTAGAATGTACAAGGGCCCCTAGGTGTTTATCACGGAATTATGTAACTTTCTTTCAGCAGAGTAAACGCCAGACACTGAAGCAACAGTGCGATAAGACCAAAGTGCTAGTTGTTTTCTGTTTTGTAAATATTATTTAAAATTTTTAAGTTGGAAAGTTACTGTCTAATTAACAATATCTGTTTGCTACTCTGCTTTTGTTCCTTTGTGTTTTAACATTTGAATTTTGTCCATGTTATATATTCCAGCTTATCAATTTTCTCCATCATTTACCAGCCCTATACTTGTTTTCTCAAAGGTTAGCTAAAAACAAATAAATTAGCAGTCTTTTATGGAATCTGTGAGAATAAATCCAGATAATCCATTATTAAAATGGTAAAGAGGAAAATTTACACGTGGTAAAAACATGATCAAGAATCTCATTGTAGTTTAAAATTTACACAAATTTTTAAAAATTAAGAGGCATAATTTATAGCATATTGATCATTAAACTAGATTAATAGAATTTTTGTAAGAAATATTTTCTCAAAATTTATAACTATTGGTGTAATTCTCATTGTATTAACATGCATAGAGTTACAGTGCTTATTATCTGATTATATTTTTTCCAGTAAAATAGGCTGCCATTGTGGTTTTGCTTGCTGTCCTTTCTCAGTTCTTAAATCTATTTAACAGCAGCAATGAAAATCTCATTCATGGAAAAACTCACATAATCACTGATGATTTGTTGAGTTGATTAGTTTTACTTTGCAAAAATATTTCTGTAGTTTAAATATAGAGAATACCAAATAGTAATTGATAACCTAGATTCTATGTCTATGGTTTTGTTAATTTTGGTTTTGTTTTTTTTGTTGGTGTTTGTTTTTTAATTTTTTTTCTGCCTTTCGTACAGGAATGATTCCTCCTAAACCACTGATGAGAAGAGATCAGATAGAAGGGTCACCAAACAGTTCTGAGTCATTTGAGCATATAGCTCGATCTGCAAGAGACCATGCAGTGCCCCTCTCAGAGCCGCGTCTGATGTGGGGGTCAGATCCCTACCCTCATCCTGAGCCTCCACAGGCCGCCACTCCCCAGGCAGCGGAAGAGCCTGAGGGCGTAAGGTAATTGTTACGTTTATGAATAGACCAAATTCAGTGTCGTGGCGAAACAAAACCTATATGGTGTCTCTGGCGATCATTCTGATTTAGGACTGAGCTGCAAATCTGACTTCCCCCCATTTAAAGTGTGTCATTTCATTTTTGGGCATACTTTTATTTTTTCTGTTATTTCTGTCGATTAGAGTTTTTTGTAACCTAGTTCTATACATTGAATTAACTGCTAAAGTTTAGTGTTAGATATTAAGATTGGCAGGTTTCCACCATTGGTTGGGTACTTAACATGTAGTCTGGCTAAGGTGTTGCTAGAATTCTTCCGCTAGTGAGAAACGGTATAGACATTTAATTATTAATATCTTATGGAAGTTTTCTAAGGTCAAGATAAGGACATAAACTAATTTACAGAGAGACTTCAAAGTAGCAGACAGTTGGCGATCTCTAATAACTTGTAACCATAAAGTCAGAACTCTGCCCTCTGTATATTTTATGGTGTCTTATAATTCTGATTCATTGGGAAGGATAGACCTCTGTACTCTTTCATGTTGTACAGCTAAAACTTAGTAGCAACTCCTCATTCCCGCTCCCTGCCATTTCCTGTCACCGTTCCACTCTGCTTGGATGGGTCTGATGAGATTGTATACCTCGTATCAGGAGTCGTGCAGTATTTTCCTTCTGTGACTGATTTATTTCACTTAGTGTAACATCCTCATCCATGTTGTAGCATATAACGAGATTTTTTTTAACAGCTAAATAACATTCCATTGCGTGTGTGTATATAGCACGTTCTCTTAACTCAGTCATCAGTCAGTGGATGTTTAAGTTGTTTCCACCTCTTGGCTATTTTGAGTAATGCTGCACTAAACTTTTTATGGAGACATAAAGATGCTCTTTATAATTAGGATCCATTGTTTTGTTTTAAAGTTATAGGGATTATTTTGCTGCACACTTACATGTAAGAAAGATATTGCCCTGATGATGTGCCTCTGAATTCTCGTTGTCTCAGGCCCGAAGCTCCGTTGGCTCAGGAACAGGTTACTGCTGCTTATCCTGTAGAACACAGTCGGCCAGAGCCTCGTCCCAAAGCGGACTTTGCTAGAGAGCCAAGTGAGACGGAAGTACAGAAGTTTTTAAGCAGGTCTGTGGAAGACATTAGACCTCACCCCACGGACTCAAGCAGTCAGCCTGCTTGTTTTGACGTCCTTGATCAAAAGACTGCAACTGCCCCTCACGAAGAGCGGCCTGCAGCTGGGGAAAGTCAGCCTGCCCGGAAAAGGAGTGTTTCCCACGGGTCTAACCACCCGCAGAAATCAGAGGAGCAGAGAAGCGAGCCGCCTGCCAGCATTCCTAAGGTACCCAGCAGGTGCATAGAACCGAAAGAACCCGCAGACAGGTCGGAGGACAAACCAAAAAAGGACGGCTTCATACGGTCTTCCGAAGGACCGAAACCTGAAAAACTGTATAAATCCAAGTCGGAAACTCGCTGGGGCCCACGGCCAGGTTCCAACAGAAGAGAAGAAGGTAGCGATCGGCCTGTGAGAAGATCGGGTCCCATTAAAAAACCTATACTTAGGGATATGAAAGAGGAGCGAGAGCAAAGGAAGGAGAAAGAAGGAGAAAAGGGAGAAAAGGCCACTGAGAAAGTTGTAAAAGCGGAAAAAACGGAAAAGAAAGATCCTGTCCCTGCGCCCCCAGCAGCCGCAGCACCGGCTCAGGCCCAGGCCCAGGCCCAGGCCCAGCCGGCCCCACCAGCGCCTCCGCCGGAACCCG